CATTGCATAAACATATATTAAAACAAAATTTAATTTTGAGTTTATATTTTTCATTTTTTCACTTTTGTGTGCTTCGTAATAAGACAGGTGACGTTCCAAGCTTTTGATATGTTATAGACGTTTTCATCAAAACTCCACCAATAAATGCCCAACTTGCCGTAAAACCTGATGATAAATCCTACACTGGTCCAGTGTATTACCAATGGACGATGTGTATTTGTGTGCCAGACTCTATTTTTAAAAATAGGAAAATGCACTAACGTAGGTGACTGTTCAAGTTTGTTTGCTTCGTTCTGGATACTCTCTGGTTCAATGAACACGACGACGCAGCTGACGCAGTTGTAGACGCAGTATTCGCTGCCCAAATTAGAGTTGAAATTCATGCATTTTTTACACAGATATACGATTCAGTTGTTAGCAAATATAACTGTTTTAATCCAATTAACAAGTAACGTGAATCAAGATTTCTTTTATGTTCGTTAGTCCATGGAGGTAAAAAGAGCATGGTTAGTCCATGTTAAATCAGCCCACTTTTCGAGCGCAAACCACTATCGCCATACTGCTCCCTACTTGACCAGATTCTATTGTCCATTTCTGGCAATGCAGGCCGGGCCTTTTTGCGTAGGTTAATTGATTTGACAAAAGGGATAAAGAACCAAATTGTTATATCCGTTTAACGAAAGGGGTTAAAGCTGACCTCTTGTGTGGAAGCAGTTTTGGGATAGTTATAATGGGAAGACAATTTTTATGGATGCTATCTGGCATTCGTTCGAATCTCTTTGTTTGTTTACAGATGCAGCTGGGTCACTGGGGTACGGTGGCATTTTTAGTTCTTTTTAGTTGTTTTTTTTGGGGAGTGGCCAGCTGACTGGAAAGTTCTTAATATTGCAGTCTTGGAGTTATTTCCAATCATGCTGGCTCCTGAAGTGTGGGGGCATTATCTCAGTAACAAGCAGGTGTTGTTCTTCACTGACAATGAGGCCCTGGTGCTAGTATTGAATAAGCAGTCGGCAAAGGATAAGGACCTGATGGTTTTAGTTCGTTGGATCGTGCTCAATGGCCTTCATTCTAACATTCTTTTTAGAGCAAAACATATTCCAGGCAGGCATAATATTTTGGCCGACTGTCTTTCTCGTTTGCAGGTGAATCAGTTCAGATCAATGGCTTATGGCATGGATACCAATCCAACACCAATTCCCTTCACATTTGCTACCAGTCAATTGGAAATGGAAGTAGGCAGACTTTTACAGCAGGCTATTTGCAGCTCCTCTAGGTTTTTGCCGAATATTTGTATAGCCAGTTTGGGGTACATTGTCCATCATTACCACTTCCGGAAACAACTATTGCTTTGTTTATTGGCTACATTTCTAGGCAGCACCTGGCACCATCCACTGTTTCAACTTACTTGTCAGCCATTGGCTACGTTCATAAAATTGCAGGTTTTTCAGACCCAACCAAGTCTTTTATGGTACAAAAATTGGTGCAGTCATATCGAAAGTTAAAACTTCAACTGGATGACCGTCTTCCTATCACTCGTGACATTTTGCATTGTCTAGTTAAGGCTATTCCACACGTTATTTCATCTGCTTATCAAGGGTGTTTATTTCGAGCAATGTTTTTAACAGCATTCTATGGGTTCCTCAGGATTGGGGAAATTACCTCAGTCAATGCCATTAACCTTATCCAAATTTAAGCATTGCAAACCAGGCACAGCATTTGTTATTTCATTTTGTAGGAGGAAGGTGACTGACCTTTGCCCTGTGCAGGCAATGTAGGATTTTTGCCAGTTACGGGGAGTAGAGGCGGGCCCACTTCTTTTTCCTGCCTGGAGCATTTGGCATTGGACGGGGTGATTTCACAGCTCAGCTTAGGCGTTTTCTGGAGTTTTGTGCTTTAATGTTGTGCTAAAATTTTCGTATAGGAGCAGCCTCACAAGCTGTTCCAGATGAGTTGTCTGATGCTCAGATCCGTGTTTTAGGTAGATGGAAGTCAGATGCATTCAAGGGATATATTAGGCAACCAGCAGTATGGTAACATGTTTACAGGAATAGACGAAACATGTTTTGCACTTGAATATAGGGCAGGCAGGGGCCGCTATATATGGGTGCCTTACATTGTTCTGTTTTTCCTTCTATTCGATATAGGTCAGGCAGGGGCCGCTGTATTTGGATTCAAGCAATTTAGTAAGTGTTCACTTAAGTAATGTACTTTCATAAGGATTTACCTCTGCTTCTGGTCATTTTGGGCGGGGCGGCCACACACTAGTGTGGCTTGTGGCGTTTCTGGGGCCCACACCTTTGTGGGAGATTAATTTGTGCTTAATTTTCACTGATTTATTGTTTTGAAAGTTTTCCTGGCCAATTGACCTTTGACCTCCTTGGAGGTTTTTCTGTTGTAATCTTTCAGTTTGAGGAAACTGCCTAGGGATTTTTTAAGGTTTACAAGCTTCTCATTTTTCAATAAATGTCAAGAATACTTGGCCTTTCATTCCATCTCATTTGTGTTATTGTCGTCTATCTCCCACAAACAGAGCAAAATGACCAGAAGTGGTTCAGTTTGAGTGCAGGGATATAAAAGTATATATTACAAATATTTTTTGTAAGAGTCTACCAATACTCAAAATATAAATTGGTTACATTGTAGAATAATTGGTACTGGTCAGCCAAGTGAGCCAGCGCATGATTTTCAGACTTCTCAGAGCTATGGTGAGTTTACAGATTACGATGATAATCAGAGTGATTACCCATCTGCTAGACATTTTGCACCTATCAACACAGATGATGAATTTGAAAGTGTCTCTCAGGTTCACAGTCCGGTAAGTATTACTAGCTTCAGATGAGCTCTTGCGTCGAGTGACGTTAGAACATTCAGAATCATATGACACTTTCTGGTCATTATTACCAGTACTTTATTTACAACTATTTTTTCTAATTTCTTTCTTTATTTCTGACTTCTCAGAAATTATACAGTATGAGTGATATTTTGTTCAAAATCGGCTTTGTTTGAGTAATATATATATAAATACATTTAAAACAAATACTAGTAATAAAAAATTATTTGGATATAAACACTTTGAGTGCCATTGTCAACTTTTTTCACCATCTACAAAATGATTTTGTACAGTATCTATACCACATGAAATGTTAAAAATTGACAAACCATTTGATCAGAAACTAAAAATATCTGAAACTGTGTGTGGTCCAAAATGATGATGGAATTTAGAGATGATATTACAAAATGTGAAAATATATACACTGAATTTTAGGCTTAATAACTTGTGCTGAACACTGAGATAGACTACCAGTTAAAACAACATGTGAATATTCAATGCTTGTTTATTATTTTATTAGCTCTGCTGTATAACACAATGCTAACAGTATGAATGATTGTACTCTCTCTGTCTGGCATCTGCTATTTTTGACTTGAAAAACTACCTGCCCAACTACTCTGATATTTATTTTGTGATAGTGGCAGT